GCGCCGGCGGGGTATCGATGTACCTAATTGATTCGCGGCTTTGTAGCGGGGAAATAATTACTCGCGGCGGGATAAAAGTAGGCAACGCGTTTGCCGATATGACGCAAGATGCGTATCGGCTAGATGCAGCGAGATGCAATTAGTCGATCGACGGAATAACTCTGTGTTAACTCTGTGCAATCTCGATGTACAACACCGGGCGTCGTACATGCCTCGCAGCATTGTAACTGGATCTACGATCTGCAATTGTACGCCTCACGTATGCGCCTCCGTAAATTCCTTCGTGACATTTCGGCCGAGAAGAGTGGAGTAATCATCGAGTCACTCGGATTCGAGCGATTTTTCCCTCACATGAATACACCCCGCTGTGAATCGTCGGCTGAATATTTCCATTCGAAATTGAACGGCGAAGCCGACTTGTGCGCCTCGCCTGCGCCGATCGGAAGATACACGGCCTAATCGATCGAAATTCATACGGAGCCGGAGTCTACTGTAAGCCTGAGCGAAACATTCAGCCTTGCGCCTTCGAGCGGGGGTGTTTTCGTCGCTTCCAGTAAATTTCAGAGCTTCCACTCTGGGAAATTTCCGGAGTCACACGAAAGGGCGTAGAAAAGTCGCATCTACGTTAAATTATACACTCGCGTCGCTCCGCGCTCGATGGAATCTTACGCTGCGCCGGGTAATTTACGTTTCAACAACAATAATAATAATACATAAACAAGCGCGGAGAGAAGAAGGCTGATCGACCAAGCGGCGCGTCCTCGCGCGACAGGCGACTTTAAGCGGCGGCCCAGCTAGAACACGCGATTTGTCACGCCGATATATCGAACGTGTTCGTTGCGCGGCGCGCTGCGCCGCGCGGAGAAATATCATCGGTGTACCAATATCCCGGTAAGTGGAATATTCCGGTGGGAAGAGAGAAGTCGTACCATCGCTCATCCAGCGTGGCGTAACGTAGAATGTAAAACCCTTATCTCCACTGAGAGAATTCTCCGTACACTTTCCCTGCTCTCTCCTTCCACCTCCTCCTCCGCCTCCTCCCTTTTCTTTCATGTGCGAGGAGTATATCATTCCCCCGGCCCCTTCGGCAGCATCGTCGCCCTCCGTCCCCCCTGCTCTCCTCCCGCGTACCGTGGTACCGCGAAAAATCACCGCGTCTCCGGCGTTACGCCACAGCCGGCTAATATCGAACGACGAAACTCGCTCGCCCGTTCCTCCAAGGAGTCCTCCGCGCGCGCGGTTTCACCGATGCGGAAGCAGTTTGGGATATTATGGAAATACGATTTCCATTCTTCACGCTGCCTAGCCGCTCTCGGAAACTCTCCCTCCGCCCTCACCGCACCCCCTTCGCCGCCATCTCGGGCGTTGCAGTGCTCGCCGATAGGCCTCCAGACCAGAGAGAACGAGCACGCGTTGAGATTACGGGGATGAAGGACAAACGAGATAACGGCGGCGTCCGTGCGTGTCGCGCGGTGTGTATAAAGCGAAATCTCGGCGTTGGGGAGCGTCGAGAAGAGGCGAGAAGGACCGGGCGATGACGACGACGACGACGACGACGACGGCGACGATGGTAGTCGAATCGTGCAGTGGGAAAACCGGGGCATGGATCGTCGAGAGAGAGAGAGAGAGAGAGAGAGAGAGAGAGAGAGAGAGGAAGGGAGAGAGAGAAGAGACAGTCACCGCAGCCGCCGCGCTTGCGGAAGAGATAAAAGATAAAGAGCGACGGGAAAAGAGACCAAGAGGTGCCACTGAACGGAGAAAAACGCAAGAACAGAGAATGCTACCAAACGAGAAAGAACGGGTCACGACGGAAGCGACAAAGCACGATGATGAGAAAGGAAGACAGAGCGAGAGAGCACGGCGGACACACACAGAGCGCTCGGATGCGGGGGGAGGGCGGAGGGGGGAGGGAGCAAAGTTGCGAGGGGGTCGCGTAGGTGCAGCTATAACGGGTAGTTGTTGGTAGGACAGAGTGATGCATGGCTATGGGGTCGCCTGTTTCACCGCGAAATGTCGGCGCCGTGCGGCCGCCCTCGCGCAGCGAGGCTGCTCGCCTTTTACATACTCGACGTACCCTCTTCTCCAGCCCCCCGTCCTCCCCCCGCCCGCGCTCTCCCGTCGCGTCACCCAGCGAGTCTCCTGTCCTCATCCTCCGCTCTTTCGCCACCCTCGCCGCAGCTTCCTCCCTCTCTCTCTCTCTCTCTCTCTCTCTCTCTCTCTCTCTCTCTCTCTCTCTCTCTCTCTCTCTCTATCTCTCTCTCTATCTCTTTCTGCCTCTCTTGCGCTCTCCTCTCCTCGGTATCACTTTGTTTGCCTTTCCCGCGGCGGGCCGCGCGCGCGACGCAACGCGTCGCGTAACGTAACGTCGCGCGCGCGCTACCTTACTCGCGTACTCTTCTCACCCCCTCGCCCGCATATATCGATCGTACACGCACCCCCTCCCCGCGAATCGTCCGTACCCGCGATGCACGCCGCGTTGCACCTCTCTGCCGGCGTGTTC